ATAGTTTTGTTGTACATCTTCAGCTTTTAATCTAAGCAGTGAGCATCACATGTCATTTTCCTCCAGAGTCTTAGTTATCAGGAATGGGACTTGCTAAGAACATGGACATTCCTGCTTCTGTTGCTCTCATAGCGCTCATACCGAGGCTGTGCACCGTGTGACAGAATAAAAGTACTAGAGCTTTTGTTGCATCTAACTTTCCCCCTCTGTGATTATTTTACATTTAAATACAGCTGAAATCACAGCACAGACAGCCATTATCTTTAATTCAAGTCTGGGGTGATTTCCTTACCTGATGTGGCAGTTATATAATCAGACACAAGCCCACCTGCAGAGGTTTATTGTTTAAGCTAATTACAGACTCTATTTTCTTCATGTGGAGATGTTTATCATCTCACCTCTTCAACTTGACATTGTGCGTTAGTTTCCCTCGTTGTTGCAAACTTAACAAATTTGTCATTGGGTTTTGCAACTTTTATATCATTTTAGCAACTTTTCTTTAAATAAGCACATACACAGTCACAGGCTGGCTCACTGACCTTTAACATTGTGTTGTTCAGTCAGTCTGTCTGTCTGTGTAAACAGAAGGCAGTCAAGGCTCCAATCTTGGCACCCCAGTGCTGGCTTTCAGATCCTTAATCGTAACTCTTTCCCCCGTAAACACAACATTTGGTGACCTCCCCTGCACCCTTAATGAGGACTTTTGACACCTCATTATATCTCAATAAAGATTTGGTTTTGACACCATTAGAATAGGTTGAGTTTTTCCAAGGGTAGCTCCGTACTCCGTAAGCAGACACCACCCTCACTAACTTCTGATGCACCTGGACATTTTGTTCTTTGAGCAGGCCTGAAATATGACAGAAACTGCTCAGTTCAGGCTTTCAGGGGGCACCAATTAGCACTTACATGCATACTGATTCTCATTCCCCTCATCCTCTTCTGTCTGTGTACATGTGATGTTTGAGGGTGGCTTTGGGATCGGCTTAGCCTAAGCACCCAGACCTGCTCTCTGGGTGCTTACGAAACATACCAAACAGGACCTGTCTTCCTGTCTTAGGTTCATCTACTACAAATCTCAGAGTTCGAATATCAGTGGTCACCAATAGTCAGACCAATATTTAAATTTGAGGTCAAGGTCAGAGGTCAAGTTTTCTAAAAATCTTGTGAACACGGTGACTCCAGAAAGATGTCACCTAGGATTTTTAAATTGATAGCATAGGTATTCGATATTGGTGACCTTCACCTCAAGATCATTTATTTCTGTTCAGTTTTTTCAATGAACAAATAAAATATACAAACATTTCAAGCCTCTTAAAGTGAAGATAAACCGTACACTGGTGTTGAGACCACAAAAGAGGGAAAATTTAAAAACTAGTGCAACAGAAAGTAAACGCACATCAGCAGTATATCCAGAATCCACTAAGAAAAATAATTTCAGGGCATTTTTGTCCATCCTGCAGTGCCGAGATCATTTGTATTAAAAAAGATCAAATGATGTGTTTGGCCTGTGTAATAGCAAAACAGCCATTTGAGACAAAGATACAAA